GAAAAGCTCAATCAATCCTGCTCCTCCATTTTCCTCAAGAAGATCTCCAAGTGATCTCTTGTACGTCCGGGATGAGTAAAAAAAATCGTGTTTTCAGCCATTTACTTGTAATTTGAAAGTGACCGACTTGTCATTTAGCCATAATATCATCGCCACTATGAAAAAATGACGACTCGTCACACTTTAGGATATGTCTTGTACTTTAAAAAAAAAACCTTTGGACTCAGTACTAGTGATCCCTAGCTTATTTATTTTCACAACTTTTTTTCTGAAGTTATTGTAAATAACAACAACCCAACAATGCAATAAACACGCTATTGCACTCGGCGATGGTCAGGCGATGGTCAGATATCCGGTCAGAGGCGAGTGGCGGCCTGTTTACGCCATCCGGACCAGGTCAGGTTGTCCCTCTTCGGTTCTTTTCCGCTCTTGTTTTCTTTGACCCCGTGCTGTTTTCGACGAATCATTCTTTTGACATTGTCAGGTGGGAAATAATTTAAAAAAAGGAAAAAAAAGAAGAAAAAAAAAGAAACCGTATCCGTTTCACGCTGATCTCAAAGCTTCGGCCTATAGCGTTTCAAGTAAAAGTCAGAACAAATGCTCAACGAAAAAGGAAAAAAAAATCTGAAAGCTGTTACTGTAAACACATTTTAAAGGAACTGTGTATGTACAAATAGTATATGTATGTGATTGAAAATAAACAAAACCTTTGATCTTGGACAACGGTGTGTGTCTCTTCTTATTGTACAGAGAAACGTCACATTTGTTTTCAGGCTTTTCAGCCGACACAAACCTGGTTTCTGGGTAAAGATTCTGTACTGAATCCCTTCAAAATGCAAGCAAGTGCACTTATGGTTCACTTTTCATGGAATATTTACATCCACTGCACAATTTCCATCCTTTTCTAAACTCTTTTTGTAGAATTGACATTTCAAAACACACACTTTACTCAGTGAGAACAGGAGGAACTGTGTCTTTCATTGCTCTATTAAGAGGGAATTCAACACATTGTTCTTCTGGACTTGGTCCATTTGTCCCAAATCCCTTGGGGGGGGGGGGGGGGGTCCCTGCCTTAGACCTGTGGGAGTAGGGCAGCTTTTCCATGGGGAGGAATACCTCTAAGGCCTCCGTCCACTAATCATAGTGTGTCTGCCGTTTTGTACGCAGGTATAAAAAGTTTGAAGGGAAAACATCTTTAATTGGATCAGGCATCACTCCCAGGGAAGTTATTCCAGGATCCTCTGGGATCTTGAGACTGAATACGTTCTCAAACGTTTTAAGAATTCTGTCCCAGAATGAAGATAGTTTTGCACATGATAGAAAAACGAGTGAAGCTTTTGGATACATGCTGTACTCTAAATTTTTATTTGAAAAACTCATCAGATTCTTCCATATTAATTCCCTGGGTTTATTTTTTCTCTTTCAGTATTCCATTACAGAAATGCAACCCCCAACTGTGAGTGCCCACAACCTAAAGGTTTTTGTTTTTCTTAATTGAAAGTTTAAAGCAGTTTTAGGGATTTTTACCATTTGTTATAAGTCCTCATTCATTAATTACACTATAACTCCTCAAACTCAACAACAATAGCGTCAAAGAGGTATTTTTTAAACATTTTCAGGTAGTAAAGAGACCAGAAAAACCTCCAGGAATCTGGAACACCTGAGGCTGGGTAAAGGGAGGGGTTCACACATATGAGGGTGTCTGATGCCCCCCAGGATGTGAACACCCCTACAGGCATCTTTTTGAGATGGATTTAAAACATCTTTTACCACTTCCACTAAAATCTGCCTAATTTTGACTCTTGCTGCATTAACAACTAAACAATAAAGGTAACAATCTGAGTTTTTTAATCATAAAAATGATTTATTTTAGAGTCTAATGTCCCTAGAGCTGTTATAGTGTGTGAACCAGGGCCAAACACACAGTTTGCTGCAGCTTAGGAGAGGAGATAGGTATCACTGTAAAATAATCTGCAGCTATTGGTTTAATTTTCATAGGCTGTTGCATTACATTTCCTTTATAAATGTCTTTCCCTAATGTTTTCTTGCTAATAGCATTTGTCTTACAGCCATTGTAAAGTTCCTTTAAAATAAATATACTTAAATATATTTCTATAAAGTAAGTAATTGTAAAGCACCATGTGAACAGTTCTATACAAAAAAAAACGTGAAGTATCAGGAGACAAATGAAAATGCATCTTTATTTATAATGTCATGTCTCTGTAAGGTTCCACTGAGTATCAAGTATCATGTCTTGAAAATATTTCCCTATCCGAGTCCTTTCCACCTTCCCCTCCGTTCATAATCCGCTCCTTTTGTGTGGAATTCACAGAACGAGGTGACACCGTCAGCCTGGCTTAAGCCTGTTATTATTATTATTTCCCGGTGAAGGGTCCGGACTGAGGAGCGGAGGCTCCTCTCCCTTCTTTGGTTGTCCGGGGTTTTTTTTTCCCCTCCCAGGATGTGCACATTCCAGAGTCCCTGCAATGACCAGCAGCAGGTTTGAAACGGGGGGGGGGTTCATTTCCAGAGGAAACGCAGCCAGCAGCAGCTCTGTGCACACACACACACACACACACACACACACACACACACACACGCACACACGCCAACCTCCACCGGACGCCCAGACCCGGTCTGGTCTCAGATGTGTCCCGTTTTTGTACCCAAAAGCGAATCCAAACCCACGTGTAGACATTTGGTTTAAGGCTACATGAAAACACAGCATGAAAACAGAGTCACTTTACAGACATTCAGGTGTACGCTGATGCTGATTCAGGTGTGGCCTCATGCTCCACCATGCACACCCCCCCCCCCCCCTCGCTCCCCAGCCATCAACAGCCGGGCTGTTAACAAATCAGAAATGTCCTTTTTCACAGTTGAACACAGCTCAGAGTTGGTGGCTTCTCTTCCTCTTCCACGTTCCCACAATCCCATCCGGAGCATCCATGATAAAGCTGCACCTTTTGGAGGAAAAGCTCATCCAAGCCAGATGTTTACTTTGCTAATTCCAGGATTTCTTAGACTTAAAATCGATTTTAAGATCCATTTTTTGTTTTCAAACAAGCTAAAAACGTCCGTCGGTATCTGCATTCGAGCCCAAATCCATCTGAATATCAGTAAAAACACAGTGCAGACTAACGAGGAGTGTCTACAGCTACCTAGAAAAATATTTACAGCACAGGCTCTGTTTGTTTTTTTTTTGGTCATGAGTAAATGTAACAGCACAGAAGCACAGGCACATGTACAGCATACTTTCCCATTTAAAATGGTACGCGCACGAATCCACGAAACATTCAGTACCAGTTTGCAGAGGCTAAACAGACATACAAGTGCAAGGAGACATCTTCATATAAAATATCACACATTGATAATTTTTGCTTAAATACCACTTAAGTAGGACTCTTATTTGACTCTGCGTTGTGTCCCTCTATGTACACAAGCAGAGTCACAAACCGAGTTTCTTTTTGGTTAGATGTTCAAAATAAAATAAAATCATGAGGAGTTTGGATGCATCTTCAGGTCCAACGTTGGTGGGTTTGTTTGTTTTTCACATTTTACTGTCCCGACCGTCATCCTAGCCCGAGGAGTTTCCTTAAAGTAGTACCACACGTCCACTCATCGGTCAGAGGAGAGAGCACCACTCTGGTTTTCTTAGAAGGCTAGGCGTCCATGAGCCGTTTAAATAAGGATATATACAGATAGACTCACTTTGACATCACTCCAGGTGAAATCTTCATACACACACACACGCACACACACACATACACACGCTCACAGGTGGCTCTCATTAGCCTTTTACCTCCTATTTGTTCATTTAACCATCAACCATCAACTTTCCAAGTCCTATTTCACATCGTTTAATGAACCATAACCAGTTTCCAGCCTTTGGCCCTCCTTCACTGGATCCAGATGGGGTTGTTGCGGTCCGGCCGGCGGGGGTCGGCGGCCGGGGGGGCGCCCCCGGCGGCGGTGAGGTCGCTGAAGGTGGAGAAGAACTGCTCCATCTCCTTCTGCAGCATCTGGTTGCGGCGCTCGGCGTCGTCCTTGGCCCGCTCGGCGTTGCGCAGCTTGATCTCGGCCATGGTGTACTTCTTCCTCTCCTGGTCCAGCTCCTCGTGGAGGCTCACCATCTCCGTCTCCAGCTCCAGGTTCCGCTGCTCCAGGCTAAGAAAAAAGGGGTTCAGACAAAAAAACAAGGATGGGCTTCTCAGTTCAGACTAATTCTCCATGTGTTAAAGCTCATTTTAGTTATTATTTTAGACACAATTAACCTCTCATATAACGCGTACCAATGTGGTCCCAAACTGCACCAAATAAAAAGTAAATATGCTTTGGAAAAAGAAAAGAAAAATCCTAAAAGCAAGTAAAGAGCAATTGAAATGCTTTTGAGATGTTTTCAGAGATGATGATACTGTGAAATAAACGCAACTTGCAGCAGTACCATCCCTGTAATCCATGAATTAATGAAAACTAAATTATTTCTGTTAGCTTTACTGGTTTCTGGAGATTAGTAAGGAACAAACGAGTCCCAAACTACCCAGAAACTCAACACAATGTCAACAAAATCGTGTGAAATAGGCTAATTCAAAGGTTCAGAAACAAAAAAAAAATATCTGAACTATAAGCTAATAAGCTAATTGCTAAGCTAATTGCTGAGCTAAAGCAAATTGATTTATCCAGAGCAGTGTTTGCTAAATCTGGGTCCTGATCAGAGCTCAAAGAGCTGAAGGGAAACATGGAAAACCTTCCGGACGGATCTGGAAAACCCTCCGTTTCCCAACCCCCCCCCCCCACCTTTTGATCCTGGCCTCGTACTCGATCTTCTGCTTGTGCATCTCCTGCTTCAGGCTGGCCACCAGGCTGTGCAGGGCGCTGTGGCTGCCCGGCCCGTTGCCGGGGTAACCGTCTCCGCTGGCGTCGCTGGCGGTGCTGCTGCT